TAGATAGACAGATAGATAGATAGATAGATAGATAGATAGATACATAAGATACATAGATACATCGATGATAGATAGATAGATAGATGATAATAGATAGATAGATAGATAGATAGATAGATAGATAGATACATATATACATAGATGGTAGATAGATAGACAGATAGACAGACAGACAGACAGATAGATAGATAGATAGATAGATAGATAGATAGATAGATAGATACATATGTACATAGATGGTAGATAGATAGACAGATAGACAGACAGACAGACAGATAGATAGATAGATAGATAGATAGATAGATAGATAGATAGATAGATAGATAGATAAGATAGATAGATGTCGATTATGGTTAAATCTTAAGTAGAATTTTATCAGGCCATGACAAGAGAGTCTTACCTGTTCAGATTGGACCTGGTCAATGTTACCAACTTCCACTCATTTAAAATAAATAAACATAAAGACTATACTTTCAGGGATCGTTTCTATAGGTCATAACTAGAGAAGTGTCTCTGACTATGTAGAATACCAGAAACCATGAGGACGAGACGTAGCATTCTCTCCTGAGCATGAAGCTGGCTTTTTGTGTTGCTTTTTTGCAACTGCCATTTGCCATTAATGATCATTCTCTTCCTTTGGAAGCGCTAAAAGGATTGCAGTCTGAGTGGTAAAATAATAAATAAGTAAGTAAATAAATAAATAAATAAGGCAATAGCTCAAAAGTTGGAAGAAAAGGTAGAAATTGATTGGTCTAACTAACAAAACACCCACTTCCTCAGAGTATATTTAGCCATCATCTTTTTTGTTCATTGAGCCAATGGGTGAGTTAAAAGAAAGTGAGTCCTGAAGTACTGAGCCTGCACTCTGGACTCCAGGTACAGCCACAGAAGGAAGGAACCCCAGAATGGCAGAAAGCAGAACACACTGCATCAGGGAGGCAGTGTAGGAAGAAACTGCAGGAGAAACAACTATGACACAAATGTATAAAGATGTGGCAAAGAAACCCAAGACTTCATATGCCAGCTTAAAAAACTAATTTTAATAGTGGGCAGATTTTATTTTTAATTTTTATTTATGTGTTTGTGTATGCCTGTATGTTTGCATGTGCACTGCATGTGTGCAAGTGCTTTGGAGACCAAAAAGGGGTGCTGAATCCCCTGGAACTGGAGTTAGATATGGATGTGAGTCACTTGATGCTGGTGCTGGGAACAGAACCTGGGTCCTCTGCAAAACCAACAAGTTCTATTAGCCACTGAGCCATCCCTCTAGCCTCATAAAAATGAACAAATTTTCTAAAAAAGACTAAAATGGCCAACGAGGGCATGAAAATTTTTGAACATTGTTGATCACTTGAGAAATGCACATAAAACTAAGACGATGTCACCGCACACCCGTTGGGATCAAATTAGTACAGTCATCCTGGTAAATGGTTCAGAGACATCATAAAAAGCTAAAACTAGAAATAACATAAGGTCCAGCAATCCCACTTCTATATCTATACATCCAAAACAATTGAAATCAATATGCAAAAGAGAGGCATGCACGACTACATTCACTGCAGCCTTGTTTGTGCTAACCAGGATGTCACCAACCTGAGTGTTCACCAGCAGACACTCAGGGCAAGGAACTGTGGTGCAGATATGCAGAACGCTATCCAACCATGAAAAGAAAACCGCATCATCTGAAATGATATGCGGGAACCTGGACTGTTTTATGCCCTGCTTTGGGGCCATCTGCAGTCCCTCCCACTGCCCCAGGGCTCAGGTTTCCTTAATGCCTAGTTAAGGGCCTGGACTTCCCTTGTCCCATCACCTCTCCTGCAGCAGACCTTTTGAGACTGAGTGAGCGTGCCTGACTGAGCCTCTAGCGTAAGCTGCCCAAATCTTGTTTAGCCCATCCCTGTGCATTGGGACCACATGAAGTCCCTCCTACAGCCCCAGGGCTCAGGCTTCCCTGCTGACTAGCAGAGACCAGCACTTCCATCTCCTATCTCCTCTCCTCGGGCCCTAGCACTATCCATGTGAGGCTACTGGTGTACATAACTAGCCAGTGCCACTTCGCCCTCCTGGAGAGCTCCTGAGTAGCCTGACTGGACCCATCTGATCCCTCCACATAAAATCAAGAAAGAACCTAAAGCCTAGACTGATGAACTTTCCATACTCAATCAGAAAGCAACCAAGGTACATCAATAATACAAACAGAATCAAATTTCAACTCAACAAAGAAAGACTTGAGTTTCATACCAGAATCACAAACAATAAAATATGGAATCACAAAACACCTCAGATAATCCTGAGCACAAAGACCAATGCTAGAGATTACCATACCAGATCTCAAACCATATTACAGAGCTATAGTCATAAAAACAGCATGGTACCGGCACAAAACCAGACACATAGATCAATGGAACACAATTGAAGACTCAAACATGAGCATATGCAATTTCAGCTACCGGATATTTGACAAAGGTGTCAAGAACACACACTAGAGGAAAGACAGCACCTTCAACAAATGGTGCTGGCAAGACTGGATCTCCACCTGCAGAAGAATGAATCAAGTCCCTTATCTATCACCCTGCACAAAACTGAGCTCCAAATGGACCAAAGACCTCAATGTAAAACCTGAAACTCTGAATCTGTTAGAAGAAAACATAAGCACTACCCTACAAGATACAGGTGCAGGAAAGGACTTTCTAAATCAGACATCAATTGCTCAGGAAATAATGTCAACAATGGACAGGTGGGACAACATTAAACCTAAAAAGTTTCTGTACAGCAAAAGAAACAGTTGAAAAAGTGAAGAGAAAACCCACAAAATGGGGAAAAAAAGTCTTCACCAGTGACACATTTGACAGAGGTTTAACATCCAGAATATATAAAGAACTCAAAAAAACAAAAACAAAAAAAATCAAGAAAACAAATGATCTAACTAAAAGATGGGTTATCATCTGAACAGAGAGTGAAATAAACACCTCAAAAAGTGTTCAACATTCCTAGTAATTAGGGAAATTCAAATCAAAAACACTTTAAGATTTCCTGTTTTTAAAGTAATAAAATGTTTTTTATTGAGCTTTTTAAATTTCATACATTTCCCACTCAAATCCAGACTCCCTCCCCATCCATGCCTCCTCCTAAATCCTCACTGAACCTTATGCACTCTGCCGTACATGCTGAGTCCTGTTCATTCAGGTGTTTGTACCCAAATGCCTCCAGTGTAAATTCATCCACTGGCATCTAGTCAGCCCATCCAGTGGTCATATGTAAGTCATACTATCCCTCACCCAGCAGCAATCAATCTCAAATAGTTCTCAATCTAGTGCTGTCCCACCATCTAATTCTCACCTCCCCTTTGGGCCCTTGTTTAATTGAGCTGACATGGGTCCTGCGCTCCATGCCACTGCTGCCTCGGGCTTACATGGGCAAGCCTCCAGTGGCCTGGAAGCCTCCAACTCTTCTGTGTTCCTGAGCCAGCCCTCTGACCGTCTTTCTGCCTCCTCTTCTGCAATGGTCCCTGAGCCATGGGTGGGTGAGGTTCCATATAGGAGTCCCATCCTACACTCTAGTCTTTTATTCTTCAAAACTCTAATGTATATGGAAGCCTCACTGGCGCGAGTTGAGGGGTGCATTAGTCCTCTCTCCCTTATTCTGGTATGTTCCATGAGGCTTAGTTGTAGAGATTCGACTGTAGATGTGTCACCTAGTACTGGGCATCTCCCATACATAGGTTCTCTGTGCCTAACCAGATGTACAACTCTGCAGTAGCCTTCATGTGTTGCAAAAAGAATCTTCTTTGATGAGTGCTGTACGGCATGTTTGTCACTCTAAAGGAAGTCTCTTCTATACGGCACTGCGTTCCCTGCCAAACAGCTCCTAGGTATACATTTCCATTAATGTTCAGGCATTCTATGTGCATTTCTCATAGGGTTTCTAGAGCATCACTTTCCCCCTAGGTTTCCTAGCCCCCTGAGATTCACTCATCTCCACTTTTTTCACCCGTCAGGCTTCCTTCCTCCCTCCCTAGTAACAGTGCCTCATTATCCCCATCCTCCTCCCAATATCTGCAGACATCCACCTTCTTTCCTCTCCTGACTTCTCTCCCTCCCCCACACAATGGTCCCTTGCATTTCCTCCCTCCTCTCCTCCCTTCCAATTACTCCCACTTTTTCCACCTCCCGCAGGTATTTTCTGATCCCTACTATCCCCATTTCAGGTTGTTTCTTTTCCTTTACCTCCGTGAATCATTTCTCTTTTCCTGGCTCCTGGTGTTACATCAGAATTTATATACTCACACATAAGGGATTGATGCTACAATCCACAAAAGAGGGAGAACGAATGTTGCTTGTCTTCTGCATTTGTGTTACTTCACTTGGTATAATAATCTCTAGTTCTATCCATTTCGAACTGCAAACTTCCTCTTTCATCTTTCTTACTGTTGAAATTATACATATATTAAAAGAGAAAATCAATCAGTGGTCCACCCCACCTTTAAAGCACAATAACCACAACAATGACTAGGATAGCAATCTATACTTGTACAATAGTGGCACTTTTACTAGGGGATAATCAACAGCTACCTAATTGGACTTAAAGCCCACTCAATAGTGAGGACTCATGTGTAGCACTGTAAACATAGCCAAATACACATGACTAGGGAGATTATAGATCTTAGAGGAAACCCTAAGTCTGTCACATCCTTAGACAAATGTAATTTCTTACTATAAGCTAAATATGGATTCTTATATTTGCGGACAAGTATTCCAGTCACCCCTCATCAAAGAAGCTTCTTTTGCAACAGACAGAGAATATTTCAGAGTTCCACAACTGGTCACACACAGAGAATAAGTGCCTGTGAGATACCCAGTCCTGTGGCATATCTACAATGGAACCTCTACACCTAAGGCACATGGAATATAGTGGGACAAGGGATAAGAGAATACTAATGTATCTCTGAATTCTCATCAGTGAAGCTTCCTCATGCAAAAGGGGGTGATGCATACAGAAGGCCAAAGTATACAGAATAAGAGTCTGCAGTGTGGGTTCCTGGACAGAACTCCTATATTAAGCTTCATCTACCCAAGGCTCAGGGACCATTTCAGAAGACAGGGCAGAAAATAGAAAGAGCCAGGGGAGGATGTGCATGACTATAAGGAAACAGTCTTACAGGCTCCTGGGACCTTGCTAATATGAACTTTCAGCAACGGTGTCAGCATGTACAAGACCCACACAAACTCAATCAGACAAAAACCTAGCATAGAACTTTGGAAATGAATGGACAGCAGGCCCCAATCTTAGCCAAAGAACTATAGGCAGCTGAGTACTGCCAGGTGAGGGAGAGCTGATCTTCTTCAAGGGAGAGACTCTAGATAGGCTAGAACTTGCACTGAGAGACATCTGGGCACAGTAATTTTACTTGATATGCCTTAACATATATGACAGAATTCATGAAATCCAGTGAAGGGGGGACAATAGGAGTGGGTAGATAGGGGAGGGGTTATAAAAATGATTAAGATATTTTGTATGAAATGCACAAAAAATCAATTAAAATATTTAAGAATTCTGGAGTACTTTATACCAAGTGGATTAAGACAGACACCAAACATTCAGATCACACAATGGAATATAGAAAGTTTGAACTCATAGAAATAGAAAGTAGGAGGATGAGTATCAGAG